CTCTCCTGGGCTGCTCTGTCCCAGAGGTGGCTGTGGCAGGGGTGGTCATGGACAGGCTCAGGCTAAAGGGTGGGCCCCCAGGGGGAAGGAGTATGCTCTGGCTATGCCCCTCCCCCCAGACTGGCCCCTCGGTGTCCTGCCAACTCCTGAGTAATGCCAGGCCACACACCCGGTGCCAAACAGCCCATCCAGCACAAGGCTGCCACCTGCACCCCACATCACCTGAAACACCCACAGAACCCCCCTGAAGGAGGATTCATGTCCCCCACTTTACAGGCGCGGAAGCTGATGCCAGAAAGGGGCAGAGCAGAGTTTGAATCTCTGGTGTTGCTGGTTCTAAAGCAATTTGACGTTTTCTGCTAACATTGGTGGGGGGATGCGTTCCCAGATGGGGTGCCCCCTGCACTTCATCACGGTACACCCTCATCAGGGGAACTCTCCTGCCCTCCCTCTCCCTCCCTCTCCCCCTCCCCTGGACACACCACACACACAGCTTCCTATGGGCCAGAACCCCGACCCCACCCCCTCCCGGGCACTCCCAGAGCTGTGTCCAGCCTGGGGCTGTTCAGGTAGGTCCCTGGGAAAGAGCAGAACACTGAGGGACTGCAGGGGGCAGAACATCCTGCTCTCGTCCCACAGACCCTGAGCAGGGCAAGCTGGTGCAGTGCCACCCAGGATACTGTGGCCTGCTCCCCCAAGGCCAGACACCTTGGTCCTGGCCAGCTTGTACCCTGCAAGCTGTTCAACCTTGCCTAAGCCAGCACCCTCTCTGGGTGTCAGTTCCCCCACTGATGTCTTAGAAAGGCTGGACCGAGTGATCTCCTGGGTCAGGCAAAACACAGGGCTCTCAGGCAAGTCCTGGCACCCGGTGATTGGTGAGGAGAGGGCCCACCTGTGCTGCCTGCCCAGCCCAGGGAACAGAGCAGGCAGGCGGCTCCCGAGAAGGGTCTAGGCCCCCTGAGTCCCTGAGAAACTCAGGCGAAGAGATGGAGCCTGGGGCAACTCCTGCCTTAGCTGGTTCCTGGCTTTGAAGTCCCTCTGTGCCCTGGCCCCTTCCCTCTCCACACTCGCAGCTCCCAGATGCAGCCCCACCTCGGTGGGAGTGGGGAGTAGGGGCTGACTCCACTCTCCTCTGGGGGGCAACACCGGCCTCCTTGGGGGGACCCCAAGCTCCAGCAGGCAAGACCAGACCCTCTTGCCCCATTCCCCCCCAGCACACGCTAACCAGCTTCCAACAAATGCGCTACGACCTGGAGGTCACTGGAATTGCCTCTCTTGAGGCCACTTCTGGACCTGCACTGTGTTGCCCCCAGCCCCTAGGCACCCTTCTGGTACTCAGCAGCCAGACTGTTTCTGTGGACCAAATCTTTCTGAGTAAGGAGTTCTCAAGGCAAAATAAGGATGGAAGCATGTAGGCAAGCCAGGAGCCCTGCAATAGGACCCAGTGGGGTGGGCGCCTCCCACCCCCACCACCACCACAACCCTGGGCTGTTGCCATGCCAGTGGGTCTTAGAGTTTGTACTGCATGGTGGGGGAGAGGGACACAGGGGCAGTTCCTCCCATTTCCAGAGCCCTGCCCTTGCAGGGTCCCCTCCCTGTCCATTTCAGTCCCCCAGGGAGCTTGAAACTCAGCCAGTTCCTACGCCGGGGAATCCAAAAGCTCTGGGGGTGACGTGGGCATTTTTAATGAGCCCTTTGAGTGATTCTATGCTGTGAACTCATCTAACCAGCCAACCCGGTTAGCAAGTGTGGTACCAGCGCTCCTCCCAGCCTAGCTTCTCTCCTTTGCTACTGCTGTATCACCCACTTCGGTCCCTCCCCCACCCCACCAGCTTTGATATAAAAGGCGGAACCAGGCTCTTGAGCCCTGGACCCTGACTTTGTGCTGGATGCTTCTCATGGCTGCTCTCATTGAATCCCGGCAACAGCCCTGCAAGGTTGAAGGTGTAGTCCCCATTCCCAGATGAGAAAACTGAGAACCAGAGGTGCATTGGAGAGTGGGGGAGCAGGGAGGGGCCCCCAGTGCAGAGCCATGGGGCTCTTTGGCACCTGGAGCAGAGACACGAGGCTGCTCAAGTCAACAGCAGGTCTCTGGCGCTCTGGAGGGACCCTACTCCTTCAGAGAAGAACCTCAAGTCAGAAGCCCCAGATACCATCTCATGCCCCATCTTGCCTTGATTCCTTTACTGTTCTTGTCCAGGTCCACAGAGTTGTCATCCAGGGAGTTGAGGCTAAGGGAGAAATGATGGCGCTCAGGTAGGCAGGAGGCCCAGTCCTCCCCTCGGTGACCAAGAACCTCCACCATCACCACCACCACCACCATCACCATCACCATCTCTACCATCACCACCACCACTACCACTACTATCACCATCACCACCACCACCACCATCACCAACACCACTACTACCACCCCACCATCACCATCACCATCTCTACCATCTCTCCCATCACCACCACTACCATCACCACCATCACCATCACCACCACCACCACCATAACCAACACCAACACCACTACTACCACCCCCACCACTACCATCACTATCACCACCCCACCATCACCAACACCAACATCACTGCCACCATCACCATCATCACCACCACTACCATCACTACCACTATCACCATCACCACCACCACCACCATCACCAACACCAACATCACTGCCACTATCATCACCACCACTACCACCACCACCATCACCATCACCAACACCAACACCAACACCAACACCACCTCCCCCCTGCTTACCTGATGCGATCCTGATCATTGGAGGAGAGGTACTCCAAGCCCAGGTCCCCGGTGGGTAGGTTCAGCATGGGGTTGGCCCTGCAGAGAAGCCCCTCAGTCAAGTGCCCATGGCCCTCAGCCACCTCCCCACATCTCCTACCTGCCCTTCACCCCCTGCTCACCGCTCAGTATTGTACATGTTCGTGCCGGGGATGGCGGCGACCGAGGGCATCACCCCTGCTGCCGTCTGCCGGGCCTCCTTGGCAGCCTTCATAGCCTGAAGCTTCCGGCGGTGGCTGTGGGGGAACCAGGACGGGGGTCACACTTTGGCTGTGCACTCACCATGTGCCCCGTGGGGGCCCTGATGGCACCTCACGGTGACTGGTGGACCAGAGCATTAGCTCCCTTTACAGAGGGCAATGATTTCCCGAAGGCCCCCAGGCAGCCAGCAGCAAGGCCTGGGATCAAATCCACATGTGGCTGCGCTGGAAAGGGGAGACACAACAGCAGGCACCAGGTGTCTTGCAGGGTGCAGCGCAGGCACGCTATATCCTTGAGTGCCTTGAGAAATCTGTGTCATGCCCATTGTGCAGAGGAAGAAACTGAGGCTCGGGGCCGGGGGTGGGGGGTGGGGAGATGACAGAGATCTCAGGAATCCCTGGGCACTGAACACACAGCTAGCTGCTGCCAACCTAAACTCCAGTTCTTTCTGCCCCACTCCCTACCCGAGTGTCTAGGGAGACGGTTAGAGCCCCGGCAGGCCATGGCACCGCACCTCTTCCGTACACACACGAGGACAGTGGCTGCGATCACTATGGCGAGTGCCAAGGCCACTCCCAGTCCTATGATGACGCTGATGAGCTGTTTCGTCTGGTCTGACTCCTGGCTCTGCTGGGAGCCCTGGAAGAGAAAGGGCGTGAGGGGGCTGCGGCTGGGGGAGGGGGAGGGGCGGTCACCTTTGGCTCTTGCCTCCCCCTGCCCCCCGCAGCCCCTCCATCCTGCCCATGCTCACCAGCACCACCAGCCCCAGCTGCAGCAGCTGTGTCAGCGCGTCCTCATCGTTCCGAATCATCCTGGGTGCAGAAGCCAGCTCAGACCCAGGCTTTCCTGCCCACACTGTGCCCAGCCCCTAAGGACAGCCCCACTCACACACTCAGGTCGTTCAGCGTCAGGGCTGACCCATTGGGGAAGACAAAGTAGGCATCCATGTAGGAGTGGGCTCGGGACCTGGGCGGGGTCGGGGGAACAGGACAAGGGGTTGCAGGGGTGCTGCGCCCTCACTGTGCGCCACCCAGCTTCCTGCTCCTGCGTCTTTCCCCCAACCAGTCGCGGGGCCTGCACACACTCACCTGGCTGCGGAGTCGAGGTTCTGAACGTTCACAACGTAGACGGTGGTCCTGGTCGCTTGGCCGAGAGCCCTACAAAGGGAGCAAATGGTCACAGAGTCCAGGCCTGCTCAGGACAGCTGTGCTGGCTCAGCAGGTGGCACCTCTATGCAAAGAAGAGAAAAGGAAATCCCGTCCTGTCACTGGGTTTACAGCTTAGCAAACAGAGTGCCCTTGTGCAGTGCCCAGCCTTCACAACGGTACATGGCAGCTCTGTTGAGCCCTCTCTCTGCCCTTGGCTGGGCAGAGGCTTCTGGATGTGTGCAGAAAGGTAGTGCAGGTCCAGGTCCAGGGTGAGAGATGGACAAAGTCAAGTGTGGGTCATGGATAGGATTGAGAGACAGCCTGTCCAGGTCTTGTCAGGGAGCAGCCCCCTTAGGCCTTGTCCTGGTCACCCAAACCTACGCCTTAATGGCCTCCATGTTGGCGCCCACCTCCTCCTTCTGTGGGGAGAACTGTAGCCTCACGCGGTAACTCTGGTCCACGGTGAAGAGCTGGGGGAGGAGCGGGTGGGAGCGCATGAGACCTAGGCCCAGGGGCCAGCAGGGGCAACTAGGTTGGAGGCCGGGACTGGTACTCACATTCAGGGTGACTTGGGCTTCACGGGCAGACCCCACGGAAGGTTTATCCTGGGCCTGCACGGTCACCTGGTAGGTCCCTTGCAGAGTGGAGTCAAGGTTGATCAGTAGCCTGCAGAAGGGGCAGGGACACAGAGCCATCCTGACACCCAAGCTGGAGTCCTCTGGCACCTAATTGCACCCCTCCCAGGATGGGAGGCATGCCATGATGCCTCTTGGCCTCGCCCCCCACCCCTGCCCCTAGCCTGCGGTGGTGGGGGGCGCCCGCTGTTACTCAATGCTGCCAGTAAACACGGTGCCCTCGGCCGAGGTGGGGATCTCAAAGACGTTTTGCAAAGGCAATGTGGTCCCATCCTTAGAGACGAAATCCACTTGCAGGATGCTGAACTCGATGACCGCATTGGCCCCTGAGTCATCGTCTCTGGCCTGGGAACAAGAGTGGGCAACATCTGGGGGCTGGGCTGGGCCACACCTCCCTCTCTCCTCCCCCACTCCAGCAGGGGTCTGAGGCTGCGGTGGCCCCTAGCCCCTGTCAGCCTTCCTCCTGCCCCTGCCAGCTCCACGCAATAAGCAAGTGTTTGATCGTCGGTGTGGCTGCTCCGCAGATCTAGGCTTGGACAAGGCTCTACCCCAGCTTGACAGGTCACTGTGCCCTAAACAAATCCTACCAGCTCCCACCACACCTGCCACGCACACGATGCTATGCCGGGGAGCGCTCTGGCTTCCTAAGCACCTACTGTGTGCCGGGCGCCTGCCCTGAGATCCCTCCCTAACGTGACTGTGGATTCTCCTGGGGGACCAGGAGCTGAGTCAGGGCGGGGGCATGCATTTATGTTCATTCCAATGCCTTCTAGAGAAAAGCATAACCAACCCACGGAGCCACGAGCCTGCTGTTCAGAGAGAAGCTGGAGCTAGGGTTTATGTTTCAAAAAGCAGTCAATTTAAAGGAGAGGGTTCCATGCCATGGCTGAACTGATGACGCTGGAGTGTAGCTGGCTGAGGATTGGCAAACCGCCATCCTTGCCCAACAAGAAACTGGGGTTATGAGAGACACTGGCCGTGGGACAGCTCTCAGTGGGCAAGGCCAGGCCCATCTGTCTCCTACACCCATGTGCTTGTCACAGCGTAGGAAGCAGCAGCCAGAGACCACCTGCTGGTGCTGCCAGCTCCTTGTTGGGGAGGGAAACTGAGTCGCAGAGGGTGAGGCGGCTTCACGGGTGAGTAAGAGGTCCAGCCAGGCCCAGACTCAGGGCTGTGCGGGGGGCTCAGCCCCGGCCCTCCAATAAACACATCAGTACCAAAACTGGTAGGGGTGGGGCCAGCGCTGTGGCGCAGCGAGTGAAGAACCACCTGCAGGGCTGGCATCCCATATGGGCACCAGTTCAAGTCCTCGCTGCTCCACTTCCAGTCTAGTCCCTTGCTTATGGCCTGGGAAAGCAGTAGAAGATGGCCCAAGTCCTTGGGCCCCTGCACCCATGTGGGAGACCCAGAAGAAGCTCCTGGATCCTGACTTTGGGTCAGACCAGCTCTGGCCGTTTCAACCAGTTGGGGAGTGAACCAGCGGATGGAAGACCTCTCTCTCTCTCTCTCTCTCTCTCTCTCTCTGCCTCTGTTACTCTGCCTTTCAAATAAATAGCTCTTTAAAACAAAAAGAAAGAAAGAAAAGGCAAGTGCATTTACGATTACAAGTCCTAGAAATTAACTACAAGGAACTCATATGAGTTTCAGTTGATCAGGATTTCTCTGTAATACTCAGGAATTCTGTGGCAGTGGGGAAAGTCAGGCCTGCAAAGTGGAACCTACGGTGATGACATCTGTGTGGACACTACATTCCACAGCTAGCGACGATCCCATCAGGCAGGCTGGTGTATGTTTCTGTTCTAGAGCTTTCTTTTGCATAGATGGCAGCCCATATGTCTCCTTTCTAGGGTTCAAACACTCTGCGGGCAGCCAGAAGACCTGAACGCCTTAGCCCCCTGTCCCTCGGGGCTCATGTGACCCACAGAGCCTGGTAAGACGGACTCACCTGGACAGTCGCCACCTGCTGGCCAATTAACACCAGTTCTGGGATGATGACTGCAAGTCAGACAGGAAGGAGGTCAGTGGGGCTCGGGCAGGGCCCACCTGGCCCAGTGCTGGCCACAAACTGGCTCAGGGCTCAACGCCTGTCCCCACCAAACCTGCCTTCAACTTCTCTATCAAAAAAGGACCCCCCCCCCCACGACAGCCAGTTGTTAGCAAGTCATCCATCTCCCATTGTACAGGTGGTAAAACTGGGATCCAAAGAGGCCAGGGCTCAGCCCAGGGCCAGAGATCAAGAGGAGCAGAGCTAGAATGAAAATGTAGTCCCTCCTTCCTGGAGGGAGGCAGGCGGTGAGGGTGTGTGGGGTCCCAAGGGAGCAGGTGTGTGTGTGTGTGTGTGTGTGTGTATGCGGCAGGGTGACACCCAGGCCTGCTGCTTACCAAAAGTCTTGTTGCCAAGCACAAAATAAGGTGTGTTGTCATTCACATCCTCAATCGTTATGGGGAGGCTTCCTGGGGACAGAAGGGAAGCTGGCTGGGGGCTCCACACAGGCTGGGCCCAGAGCCCCGCCCCCCATGGCCTCAGCCACGCCCCTGCAGTGTCACACAGTTCCCTCCCCAGTCCCAATTCGAGTGCACATTCCGTCCTTGCTGGGGGTGAGTGGCGTGTCACAGCCACACAACCAGAGCGGTGGGCCAGGCTCGGGCCTGGCCTCGGTGCGTCTCAGCTGACCAAAACGTCACACTGACACTTTGTAGCAGCGTCAGCTGGGTGCTGAGATGGCCACACGGGGCGGGCTTCTGACACAGCGGTAAAGGGACCACTCAGAATGCCCGCATCCCATAACAGAGAGCCTGGGCTGAAGTCCTGGCTCCACGCCCGACTCCAGCCTCCTGCTGCTGTGGATCCTGGTGGGCACCCGAAATGGGTCAGGAACTTGGGTGCCTGCCACCCACTTGGCAGACCCAGATGAAGGGCATCTGGGGAGTGAACCAGCAAATAGAAGATCTGTCTCTGTCTCTCTGTCTTTCAAATAAAATAATGTCCACATTGGGGCTGGTGCTGTGGCACAGTGGGTTAAAGCCCTGGCCTGCAGCTCCGGCATCCCATATGGGCACCGGTTCAACTCCCAGCTGCTCCATTTCTGATTCAGCTTTCTGCTGTGGCCTGGGAAAGCAGTGGAAGATGGCTCAGGTCCTTGAGCCCCTGCACCCATGTGGGAGACCCGAAAGAGGCTCCTGACTCCTGGCTTCATATCGGCCCAGCTCCAGCCATCGCGGCCATTTGGGGAGTGAACCAGCAGGTGGAAGACCCCCCCCCCCCGTCTCTACTTCTACCTCTCTTTATAACTCTTTCAAATAAATAAAATAAATCTTAAAAAAGTAGTTTAAGAAAAATGTCTCAACCTCCTCATCTGCGAGACTGGCTAGGAGTCAGCTGCCCCATGGGTGGGGCAGGAATGAAATGAGGAAATGCTCAGCAGGTGCTTGCCACAGTTCTTGGCTGCTGCAAAGACTCAGCGTGCGCTGGCTGTCACCATGGTCACCCACGATTTGGTGACATGCCAACACACGTCTGGCCAGAGCGTGCTCTTGCTTTTACACTGCCTAACAACAGCAGAGCACCATGCAGGCACTGCTGCGTGCCAGGCTCTGCAGCGGGTGTTTATCTGTGATTTCTCACGTCATCACCACAGCCAAGCCACACCAACTCCACCAACCAGTGGGAAGCTGACGCTGGGAGAGGGATGGGCGACTCTGGAGCCAAGGTTTGAACCCAGACCTGTGGGTCCCAGCCCAGGTTCTATCCCAGGACCCCTAGGCTGCCAGCCGCCAAGCCTGGCAGGCCAGGCCCCCTCACCATTGTCGCTGCAGGCCGGAAAGCCAGGATCCGTGAGGAGGTCACAGGCCTGCACCACCAGCGTGACCAGGTCACAGACCTCGTAGTCAATGGCCTCGCTCTGGTTGATGTACACGGAGCCGTTGGGCATCACAGAGAACCAGCAGTCATGGCACAGGCTGCCCACGGCGACGCCGGCCTTGGCACAGATGGTGTTTAGGAGCTTTATCTGCAGCAGGGCCGTGGAGTCCACATCCTGGGCCCGCACCTCGGCCACCTGGCCGTGCTGGGAGCCGTTCTCGGCCACACGGATGCCCTGGAGCGAGGCTGCGACCAGGGTGGGTGGTTCGTCATTCACGTCCACCACTGTCACGTTGATTTCCGCCGTGGCCTCCTGGTCCTGAGGGCCCGGGTTCTCAGCGCTCACAGTCAGATAGAAGAAGGGCTGGCTCTCGTAGTCCAGGCTCTCGTCCAGCGGCAGCCAGAGGCGGCCCTCGGCACGCCCAGGCCCCAGCACGGAGCCTTGCAGAATGAACCTGTTCACGCTGCTCCCCGACAGGCTGAAGCTGATACGGTTGTTGACTTCTGTCTGGTCCGCGTCCCAGGCCTCCACCACTCCCACCAGCACACCTGCGGGTCAAGGGGCGGAGCTCGGAGGAAGCCCCGCCTCTCCACCCCCTCAGGCCCCGCTCCAGGAGGGCCCCAACCCAGATGCCCAGCCTAGCGAGGGAGGGCGTACCTGGATCCCTCTCCTTGACGAAGAACGTGTAGCTGGACTGGTTGAAGACAGGCAGGTTGTCGTTGATGTCCTGCGGGCAGAGGCGGGCCTGAGCGCCAGCAACTGGAGCCCTGGGAGTTCAGCCTCCTCAGGCCCCTCTGAGAAGGCAGGGACTCCTCTGCCCGAGGCCAAGGCCGGGACCCTCTCTTTCCCTCTGTGTCTCAAGCACAGGGAACTGCCCACTCCGCAGATGAGGTGCAGCCTTCAGGAGGGAGCCCGGGCTGGTGTTGATGTGCAGAAGGTGAAGCTGCCGCTTGGGGGTGCCCTCACCCCTTATCTGAGTGCCTACTGGAGTCCCACAAAACAAACACCTTGGGAAACAAAGTAGCCTCCCTCTCAATGAGATGTGCAAACGGACTTCTAAAGGTTTGGGAGGGGCAGGCCCTTGGCCCAGCAGCTAAGGGACGCCTGCAGCCTGTAGCACAGGGCCTGGGTTCACAGCCTGGGCTCGGCCACTGTCTGTTCCGGCTCCCTGCTAGTGCAGATCCTGGGAGGCAGAAGGGATGGCTCAAGTCCTTGGGGCCTTGCCACCCACATGGGAGACCTGGATGGAGTCCCATGCTCCTGCCTTTGTCCTGGCCTGGTCCTGGCTGCTGTTGTGGGCATTTGGGGAGTGAACCAGTGGAGCTCTGTTTCTCTCTCTCTCTCTCTCTCTCTCTCTCTCTCTCCCTGATTCACTGCCTTTCAAATAAATTAAAGAAATACAGTTTTTTAGGGCCTGATGCAGCAGGTCAAAGTCGTGGCCTGCAGTGCCGGCATCCCATATGGGTGCCAGTTCAAGTCCTGGCTGCGCCACTTCTGATCCAGCTCTCTGCTATGGCCTGGGAAAGCAGTAGAAGATGGTCCAAATCCTTGGGTCCCTGCACCCACATGGGAGACCCAGAAGAAGCTCCAGACTCCTGGCTTCAGATCAACGCAGTTCTGGCCATTGCGGTCATTTGGGGAGTGAACCAGTGGATGGAAGACCTCGCTCACTCTCTCTCTCTCTCTCTCTCTCACACACACACAGCCCGCCCTCTCTGCAAGGTGGGGTAGCACTTCCCCCAGGCAGCTCCCGGAGGTACAAGGACTTGCTCGCAGGGAGCAGGGTTCTGCTTCTGCCTTCTGTGTGGCCCATCACTTCCCAAGGACAGCCCACAAGTCCTAATCCTGCTTCTGTCTCCAGTTCCCCTGAGATCACACTCTCTGATGCTTGTGGCCACGTGGCTCTTGGGGCTGCTCCCAAGTATAGAGCCAGGAGCCTGGCCCAGTCTGGTTACACGACTCTCTCCTCTACCCACCCCTTCTCCTCCCGTATGGCAAAGGACAAAAACGTGGCTCCCCTGGGGCCGGAGGGACTGGGCACCTGCAGCAGCCTGCTGCTGGCTGAGCCAGGCCTCACCTCCACAGTGATCGTGACGTTGACCTCGGTGCTGCGACTGGGCACGCCGTAGTCAGCCACCTGCACGGTCAGCACAATGCGGCCCTCCAGGGCAGGCTCAATGGCCTCTCGGTCCAGGGGCCCCAGATTCGTGAGGAGCCCTGTATCAGGGTTCACGGAGAAGTTGTGGCTGTGGGGGCTGGGCAGCAGGCTGTAGAGCAGGCGGCTGTTGCTGGTGCCGGGCTCATCTTTGTCCTGGGCCTGTGCAGATGAGCAGAGTGGACGTGAGCCATGAGCCAGCGGGCAGTGGTGGCTGGAGTCAGCGGGGTGCTGTCCGCTCTCCCAGCCTCCATCTCCCGTCTAAGAGGAGCCAACAGTCACACAAGGTCCTCAGGTCCCGAGCACGAGGCTGCTTCGCCTCCCAAAACCTTGCTGGCACTCGACAGCATTCCAGGCCCTGTTTTAGGAGAAGAGCTGTCATTGAGACAGCTGACAGGCTAGTGGGAAGGGAGACATCACAGACATTCACAAATTCAAGGAAACAACGCAGAATCAGTGGGAAGCCTGATTGTTCCCAAGAACACTACTTTAGTGCTGTGTTTTAAAACTATTTTTAAAAGAACTGATTCTTGGGGTGTGGCGTGGTGGCGTAGCGGGCAAAGCTACTGCCTGTAGTGCCGGCATCCCATATGGGTGCTGGTTCGGATCCTGGCTGCTCCTCTTCCAATCCAGTTCTCTGCTATGGCCTAGGAAAGCAGTGGAAGACGGCCCAAGTCCTTGGGCCCCTGCACCCACGTAGGAGACTAAGAAGTTCTTGGCTCCTGGCTTTGGATCAGTGCAGCTCCGGCTGTTGCGGCCAATTGGGGAGTAAACCATCAGATAGAATACCTCTCTCTCTCTGTCTCTCCTTCTCTCTCCGTGTAACTCTGACTTTCAAATAAATAAATAAATCTAAGAAAAATCTTAGCAGCCATGTTACAACTCTGCCTTTGGGTTTTACCCTTTGGACAGTGGGTTCTAACTCTGCTTTCTTCTATATTATATTATATTATATTATATTATATTATATTCTTTGTTTTATATATATATATATATATATCTTACTTTCTGGAAAGGGGCAGGAGAGTGAACATAAAACAGCAGTGCTTTTGAGGGCTTGCTTTAAGCACTTTGCAGCCATCATCTCATCATTCCCCGGGGTCTCCTGGCAGAGCCCAGATTCCACCGCGGCTGGCAGGACTGCAGAGCTGGGCGTGGCCCCTCCTCCTGCCCAGCCGTGCTGCAGGTGGGCTCGCACCTGGATAGTCACGGAGACCTCGCCCCCCTCCTCCTGCACGAAGATGTTGTAGGAGCCGCTGACTTCCGGGGTGTTGTCATTGATGTCCAGCAGGTGGATCTGTAGCGAGGCGGAGGCCGACAGGTTGCCGCCGTCCGCCGCCTGCAGCGTCAGGTAGTACACAGCCTGCGTCTCCCGGTCCAGCAGCTCTCCATCCCTCACCGTCACAGTCCCCGAGTCTGGGTCCACTGCAAAGAGGTCTGCCCTGCTCAGGGTGGCCAGATGTAGCAGATGGAATTACAGAATGCTCTCTTACGGGTGACTCTCAGATACACAGGGACACACATGTGCTGCCTGTCCCACGCAAAATGGGGTGGGGGGTATTTCAAAAAGCTTATGGGAACCTGGAACTAAAAGATAATGCACCCTTCCCATGAACCGTTTCAAGGCCTCTCACATGTACAACATTCTTATTGCTATGGTTTCCATATGGCTTGACTTTGTCCCCCAAGGCTTGTTCCACAGTGTGGCACCGTTAAGAGGTGGTGGGACCTTTACGAGGTGGGGCCTGGTGGGGGTCACAAGATTGGCTCCTCCCTTCTCTGGTTTCCCTATTCCCATGATCCCTAACATGCTGTGGCCCGCCCTTGTGGTGCTATCTGTCACGAAGTCCTCACCAGAACATAGCTGAAGATGATGCTGGTACCACGTCCTTCAGTTTCCAGCAATGTTAGCTCAACACAGCTCTCTACAAACTACCCAGCCTCGGGCATTTCATGATAAGAACAGAAAACACAATAATGCACTCATTCCAATAAAAAAGTGTTTGTGGGTGGTCGTCGTGGTGCAGTAGTTTAAGCCACTGCTTGGGATGCCCACATCCTATAGGAGCACCTGTGCAAATCCTGGATGCTCTGCTTCCAATCCAGCTCCCTGCTAGTGTACCTGGGAAGGCAGTGGAGGACGGCCCAAGTGCTTGGGCCCCTGCCACCCTCAAGGGAGACCTGGACGGAGTTCAGATCTCCTGGCTTTGGCCTGGTCTACCCCTGGCTGTGGCAACCATTTGGGCAGTAACCCAGTGCATGAAAGATACCCCCCTTCCTCCCTCTCCGTCTCTCCCTGTCACTATGTCTTTCAGATTGCTTAATTGATTGACCTAAAAACTTTGAGGCCAGTGCTGTGGCTCAGCAGGTTAAGCTGCCACCTGCCATAGCAGCATCCCATATCACAGACTCAGTTCAGGTCCCGGCTGCTCTGCTTACAATCCAGCTCCCTGCTAATGCACCTGGGAAGGCCGAGGAAAATGGTCCTAGTACTTGGGCCCCTGACATCCATTGGGAGACCCAGATTGAGCTCCAGGCTCCTGCCTCGTGCAGCCCTGGCTGCTGTAGCCATCTAGGGAGTAAACCAATGGATGGAAGATTCCCCTCTCCATATCTCCCTCTGTCACTCTGCCTTTCAAGTAAACAAAACAAATCTTTAAAAAAATTTTTGTTAAGAAAGTATTCCTTGTTGGGGCCAGCACTGTGGTGTAATAGGCTGAGACTCTGCCTACAGCAGCGGCATGCCATATGGGTGCCAGTTCTAGTCCCGGCTGCTCCACTTCCAATCCAGCTCTCTGCTATGGCCTGGGAAAGCAGTGGAAGATGGCTCAAGTGCTTGGGCCCCTGCAAATGCGTGGGAGACCCAGAAGAAGCTCCTGGCTCCTGGCTTTGGGTCGGCTCAGCTCCAGACATTGCAGCCATCTGGGGAGTGAACCAGTGGATGGAAGAACTCTCTGTCTCTCCCTCTCTCAGTCTGTAACTCTGCCTCTTAAATAAATGAATAAATCTTAAAAAGAAAAAGCAGTCGGTTTTCTGAGATGGAAACCTAACTGAGCGGCCTGTATTTTCTCTGGCCACCCTCACTCCATGGCGAGGCCGGAAGAGGCAGGGCCTGGGTCCACACCCCTCAGCTGCCACCCCCCACCCCCAGGACCTTACCCGTTTCCCGGGAGCAGGCTGTAGGTGATGTGGCCCCACTCGCCCGTGTCGGGGTCCGTGGCCTGTGAGGCAGAGAGACAGTGGGATGCTGTGGAGGCCATGGCAGCTGCCCACTGGAGACGGGGCTGGTGGGCTCCCGCACATTCATGCCGGCTGGGACCCAGTGCCATCAGAGGCCACAGACACGAACAGGGCCACACAATTCTGACCATCCAGGTCCCTCCCCCACCCCCAGGCATCCCCACCAACCCCGTCCCCAGCCTGGCCCCATCATGTCCGTCATCACTCACGTGGATGCTGTTAGTAACCACAAAGCCAGTGGCACTGTGCTCCGGCACGCTGAGGACGTACAAGCTCTGGGGGAACGAGGGCCTGTGGTCATTTACATCCCTAATGTGGATGGTCACCATCGCCACGGAGGAGTTCTGGCTCACGGAGTCAGTGGCCACGACCTGAGGACACAGCGAAGAGGCAGCACGGGGATCCTGAGCAGCCCCCATCCAGGGGGCCCTCCCTTGCCCGTGGTCCCCTGAGCCCCCCTCACCTGCACCAGCATCACCGTCTTTGTCTCGTAGTCCACCAGCTGCGATGCACGCACCAGCACCTGCACATCAGCCGAGCCCGCTGCCCGCTCCGGGGAGACGCTGAAGGCTTCGGCGTCTAGGCCCCTCAGCGTGAGCAGGAAAGTGCCGTTGTTGCCCTGTTGGGTGGGCTGTGGAGTCAGCACCCAGCGCCCTGCCACGCACCCACCCGCATTGCTGCCCCTCCCAGGGTTCCTGCCTGAGGCGGTCCCACAGCGGGGAGGGGCTTGACAAGGCCGTGGTCCCTGCCAATGTGGGCTCATCTAAAGGGGACGTTCCCAGGCACCGCGGCTCCCAGGACCCTTCCCGTTGCTCCCACAGAGAATTCCTACCAACCTTCCTTAGCTGCCACCACCGGCACAGCAGTGCCAAGCACCACCTGGCACCAGCATCGCCGGCCCGAGGACCTCAGTCAGCACCAGCACCACTCACCACACCCACGCCCCATCCACGCAGGACCATCCTCACGCAACACTTGCTGCCGTGTCAGACTTGCCCCTCGCGTCACAGACGGTGAGACACGGAGAGCACCAAACACCACACGAGGATTTGTGCACATTTCCCATCCGTGCATACCCGTGATAGAGTTCAACTGATAACTTAGGCACAGTAAGATAACGATAAGGTAAAGCAATGACAATGGTATACTGTAATAAAAATATCTAAAATGTGTGAATTAGAGACGGCATCGTGGCACGGCACGGTCTGTGACACCAGCATCCTGTATCGGAGCACTGGCTGGAGTCCTGGCTGCTCCGCTCCCAATCCAGCTCTCTGCTGATGTGCCTAGGTGCCAGCAGAGGGGGCTGGCACTGTGGCATAGCATGTAAAGCAGCCGCCTGTAGTGCCGGCATCCCATACAGGCGCTGGTTCCAGCCCCGGCTGCTCCACTTCCACTCTACCTCTCTGCTATGGCCTAGGAAAGCAGTAGAAGATGGCCTGAGTCCTTGGGCCCCTGCACCCACGTGGGCGACTTGGAGGAAGCTCCTGGCTTCTGGCTTTGAATCAGTGCAACTCCAGCCCTTGTGGCCATCTGGGGAGTGAACCAGTGGATGGAAGATCTCTCTCTCTCTCTCTCTCTCTCTCTCTCTCTCTGCCTCTGCCTTTCTGTAACTCTGCCTTTCAAATAAATAAATAAATCTAAAAAAAAAATAAAGAAAGAAAGCAGCAGAGGAGGTACCCCTGCCACCCACTCCACATGGGAGACAGGATGGAGCTCGGGCTCCTGGCTTCAGTCTGAACCAAATCCAGCTGTTGCAGTCATTTGGGAAATGAACCAGCAGATGGAAAATCTCTCCCTCTCTTTTTTTAAAATTTTTTAAAGATTTTATTTATTTATTTAAGAGGTAGAGTTATAGACATTGAGAGGGAGAGACAGAGGGAAAGGTCTTCCTTCCGTTGGTTCACTCCCCAAATGGCCACAATGGTCAGAGCTGCGCCAATCCGAAGCCAGGGGCCAGGTTCTTCTTCCTGGTCTTCCACGCACGTGCAGGGGCCCAAGCACTTGGGCCATCTACTGCTTTCCCAGGCCACAGCAGAGAGCTGGATTGGAAGAGGAGCAGCCGGGACTCGAACCGGCGCTCATAGAGATGCCAGTGCTGCCTGCGGAGGATTAACCTACTGCGCCACGGTGCTGGCCCTCTCCTCTCTTTGTGTGTCTTTTTCTCTCTCTACTATGTTTTTCAAAAAACAAAAACAAAAACTAAATCTGTTGAAAGAAAATAAAAACCATAAGGATTGTTTATTTCTGGAATTTTCTGCTTCCTATTTTCAGACCATGGTTCACCATGATCAGCAGGGGCTGCTGCACGGCCTGACCATCCATGCTTACTCATCATATCGCGTCACCAGGTCGCCAGCTCCCAGCCCCAGCCTCCATGTGAGCGCCCTCCAGGCTGGCACTCACCCAGAGCACTCTGGCTTCAACACTGCCCAGCTTCCCCCAATCCCAAAAACCCTCCCCAACCTGACCTCACCCCCACCCCCACCACCTCCACCCCACATCACCAGAGACCATGCTCCACCCAACCCAATAGCCAACACTAACCACGCCATCCGACATTCCCAAATATCACCCCAAATCCCCTTCTATCATCGTCCTTGGCTCCACTGCCCGCCTCTCCCCCATGCACCTGCCATTGGCTCTCCGCCCCCTCCCTCCCTGTCCTTGCCCCCAGGGGAACCTACCTTGTCTGGGTCATAGGCCACCATGGTGAGGCTGTCGACGGGGATGCGGGTGGAAGCGTGCTCATCCACGTAACCCACGAAGTTGACTTGGACTTCTTGGGGACTGAAGGTGCAGGCTGGGAGGCTGCAGTTGTAAAACTCAGGAGTGTGGTCATTGACATCTGTCACCACCAGGGTGACCCAAGTGCTCACCTTGGCCTGCTGCCCATAGATGTTGGGGTTCGTCTCAGTGGCCTGATGTACAGAGCAGAGGCCAGAGAACCAGTCTTCAGATGGAGTGAGCCCAAAACTCAGAGGCTTGAGGGTGGGGACACAATGGGGGGGGTGGCAGTGGTGGCTTCACTGACCGTGACCTCCAGCTGCACCTCCTCATCCTCGTCCAGCAGCTGCTCCCGGTCCAGGGAGCCATGGACCCTGATGACCCCGTCTGCCCCAATGTCAAACCAGCCAGGCCTTGTGGAACCTGGCAAGGAGGCAGGCAGAGCGTCTGGTGGAGCCCTACCCCGGCCCTCGCCGCCACAGCCCCGCCCTGGGGATGCGTCCATGCTCACTGGAGATGCTGTAGGTCACAGGATCATTGATGCCCTTGTCGCTGTCCACGGCCTCCACCGTCAGCACCGAAGTCCCCTGGTAGGAGGCATGGTCAGTGGCCCTGACCCTTTCTCCTCCCTTCCTGCTTCCCCCAGAGCCCCCCTCCCCCACCAGGCCCCCAAGCACACCTGGGCTGCGTCCTCAGCCACAGAGGCCGAGTAAAACTCCCTGATGAACTGCGGGTCCAGGTCAGGCTCGTCGATGATCGTGACAGATAGGAAGACAGGCGAGGAGCACTGGATGGTGTGGCTGTTGTTGAACAAGCCGCCCGAGTCCTGTGGGGGGAGACGGCCCCTGCATGAGCCCAGGCCGTGGACCCAGGCACCCCGGCACCCGGCCTGCACCTGCACTCACACACGCCTCCAGCTCCAGCTGGTAGAAGGCACTCTTGTTGTTGTAACTGAGGCTGCCGTTGAGTATGATGGAGCCGTTGTCCAGGATCCTGAAGAGGTGCTGGCTGTCATCAGTGCTAGGGATGACCTGAGGCAGAGCACACAGCGGACAAGCTGGCCCAGGACAGCCCTGCCCTTGACCGTGCTCTGAGAGACGCAGGATCCAATCCCGGCTCTCCCACTCACTGACCATGCAGGTGCCACCGAGTCAAATGGCCTGTCCCAGCCTCAACTTCCACCTCTGGGAAACGGGCTGGTGAGATGACCTCGATAAGACAAGAGATGGGCAGGCACATCGCTAGTGCTCCACAGATGCAGCTGCCACTAGCAAACTTGTCTTAGAACAGGGTCCACCCTTCCCATTATTGTCTGCGTGACCTTGGACCAGACCCAGCGCCTCTCCCAGCCGCCATCGCCTCCTCCGTGGGGTCAGGCGTGCATGAGCCGCCAGGTGCGGGGATGTTAGCTTTTATCAAGGGCCCAGACAGTGCTCTGGGCAGGAGGGTGAGGGGCAGGCACCCTCCTTAGGCAGCTGGGCAAAGGGAGACTCAGTGCACAGGGGAAGGGTCACGGGTCAGAGGAGGGCTGAGAGGCTCCAGGACCCTGTGGGTTCTCTGTGGAGATGCTGCCCCCTAGTGGCTGTGAGCAGCAGTCAGGATGCAGACATCCCGCAGGTCACCTTCCGGGACGCCCGCGCACCTTCTCTATGGAGTACACCACGGCCCCCGCCGACCCCGTGTCTTTGTCCTCGGCCAGCACGGTGAACACCAGGGAGCCGACTGGCAGCGTCTGCAAGGAGGGACCGATCAATCATCTGTGGGCTCAGATCCATCTCCGCCCTCCCCAGAGTCAGGCTCTCAGCGGCACCCCGGGGTTCCCTTTCCTCTCCTTCCTGTACTTCTAAGTTGTTCTGGGATCAGGCCTTCGGAGGCAGCCAGGAGAGGGCCCCAACCTCCCCACTCCCCACACAGCCTCACCACCGGCTGAGCTGGCTTCTGATTTGTGGAGCCCCTCAGAAGAAAAGACCATTCTCAAACCTAGCCTGGCTGGGTCACTCCCCTGCTCCAACATCTACACACCCTCAATTTTTTTTTTTTTTTTTTTTGACAGGCAGAGTGGACAGTGAGAGAGAGAGAGAGAGAGAGAAAGGTCTTCCCCTTGCCGTTGGTTCACCCTCCAATGGCCGCCGCGGCCGGTGTGCTGCAGCTGGCCCACCACGCTGATCCGACGGCAGGAGCCAGGTACTTATCCTGGTCTCCCATGGGGTGCAGGGCCCAAGCACTTGGGCCATCCTCCACTGCACTCCCTGGCCACAGCAGAGAGCTGGCCTGGAAGAGGGGCAACCGGGACAGAATCCGGTGCCCCGACCGGGACTAGAACCCCGTGTGCCGGCGCCGCAAGTCAGAGGATTAGCCTAGTGAGCCACGGCGCCAGCCCACACCCTCAATTTCAAACAGTGCCCTGCAGAGCCAGAAGCTTCCCCCTGGAACCTTCATTCCTGGGCCCCATCCATACTCTTGCTACTTCCTCATGGTGGCCAAAGAGATTATTTATTTATTTTAGGGCTTACTTATTTGCATCTATTTGAAAGGCAGAGCAGGAGGGAGAGATCTTTCATCCACTAGTTCTTTCCCCCAGATGCCTGCAACAGCCAGGGCTGGGCCAGGCGGAAGCTCAGAGCCAGGATCTCCATCTAGGTCTCCCACATAGTGGCAGGGGCCCAAGGACTTGAGCCACCACCTGCTGCCTCTGGGATACCCTAGCAGGAAGTTGGACTGAACTTGAACCAGGCACTTCGATATGGGATGTCAGCATCCCACGAGTCAGCCTCACCCCTCGGGCCACAATACCCTCCCCCAATGAGATCTTTTGAAATTGTGAGTCAGACCACATCCCTTAAAGCTCTCCAAGTGTCCCCCATGCTGCCCAGATAGGGTGCAGGCTCCCAGGGCCAGACAGCTGCCCCATCTCTGACATCACCCCTTGCTCAGCCCTCTATCCTCCAGCCACACTGGTCAAGCTCATCCCACCTCAGGTCATTCGCATGCTCTGTTCCCCCGCCTGGAGCACACCCTTGCTGTGAGTCTCTGCTCAGAGGTCGCCCACTCAGAGAACCTTTCCTCTCAGTCTGCCCGCGGAGCAGCACCCCGACCCCGACTTGTGCCGGCTTTACAATCTTCACAGTGCTCAGCACCACCCGCAATAAGCCTGCTTGTGCTTTCTGGGTTTCTGGCTCTGCAAGCCGCTGCAGGCGGCAACCAGAGCCATCTGGGTCGCCAGGCAACTTCATCACCTGGGACAGAGGCTGTGGGAAGCGTGAACCTCACCAGCCTCAAGCCTGGCCTAGTGTGAGGTTTCCCCGTCTCTGGTGCCTGCAGCCACGTGGTAATAAAGATTCACAAGGGCTGTTGGGCTTGCTGCCAGTAACAACTGAGGACCCTCCCCCCACCATGTAGTTCAAGCGGGGTTGCCCCGCCTTGCGGAGGGGAAGGCCTATGACACCGACCCAGCTGGCAGAGTCTCCCATACTTCAAAGTTGGTTCAGGGATGGGCATAGGACACAAAATGAACCACTGAAGGTCAGCCTGGTGCCTGGACTAGAACTGGAGAGAGAGAGAGAGAGAGAGAGACAGAGACAGAGAGAGAGGGAGACGGTCCTTCTGTGGAAGTTGCAAAGGTGGCGGGATATGAGACTGGAACTACTGGGGGCTGCTCTTGCCACCATGTGGCAGAATGGCTCCCATGCCCTGAGATGGAGGCACCCAGGGATGCAGAGCTGAGAGACACAGAGACAAATCTTCCTGATGACGCAACTCAATAGCCTGGATCCAGCTGTGCCTGTAGTCCAAGGCACCTCTACACACTTCAGATACAGGAGAGAATAAATTCCCTCCTGTTCATGTTGATTTTATATAACTGAAAGTAGTGAGTCCACTATGATTGCAAAGTGCTGATGTAGACACTGCTCGCGGATTTAACAGGATCTGAATTTGGTTCCTGCAGCACCCCTCCCCGCCTCCCCGCTCCTGCCTGGAGAGGTTTCGCCTGATTTTTTGATGCCCCACTGGCTGTGCCTTGTCCTTCCCACCCCATGGAGGCCAACATCACCTCACTGATGCTGGTGGAGAATCCAGTGTTCTGGAAAACGGGCGCATTGTCATTTCTGTCATCCACGATCACTCGCATCTCCCTCTGCACCTGCAGGAGAGAAAGCCCAGAAACCAAGATTCAAAATGCCAGGAAAGAGGCAAGCATGAGCCAAAGCCCTCCTGTGCCCTCATCCAGACCGGTTCATTCTCTCTCTCTCTCTCTCTCTCTCTCTCTCTCTCTATATATATATATATATATATATATATATATATATATTCTGAATCATTTGAAAGTAAGTTGCAGACATCATTAGGTAATCTTTTAAAAACCTAAAGTGTGCCTGCCCTATTTCAGAAATGTACATCTCAGTGTTGTTTGCCACAGTGCAAAGCTGTGGACAACCCAAGTGTCCATCAGCAAGGACCAGGTACATTCCCTCGCCGGGCGCACACATTACAAATAGGGGACCCGTGCTCACACACAGCAGGAGCCCCAGGCCCAATCACAGAGTGGACACAGCAGCTTCAAGACAATATTGACAGCAGGATCCCATCGGGGTTTCAGAAAATGCACCGACAAATGCAGTCTTTTTTTCCAAGGCTACTTAGGGAAAAATGTATTCCCAGCGGCCACTGTAGTGGGATAGGGCTGGGAAAGCTCATCCAAGGAGACTCCAGGTGCAGTTTCTGGAGTGTGTCCAGAGAGCGTGCATTCCCGACCCTGCACCAGCAATAGTTTGATTGAGGCTGACACAGAGGTCTCCCAGAGGTTCCTGTGTTGGGTGTGTGGTCCCCAGTTTGGTGGCGCCTTTAAGAGTAGGATATAGGGGGTGGGGGTATTCCTAGCCCCACCCTCTCTCTGGCTTCCTGTCTCACCAGGCGGTCTCTGCCTCTGGCACGAGCTCCTGCCACTGGGATGCCAGCTTCTAGGAGCCCTCACCGGAGCCCACAGGTGCCATCACCATGCCCTTGTGTTCCTAGGACCATGAGCTAAGTAACCGCCCTTTCTTTATGAGGTTGCCTAGCCCTGAATACCCTGCTGTAGCAATAGAAAACAGACCAATACAGCAAGGGATCACAATGATGTTGTAAATGGAAGGCAAGGAGGCAAAATGCTAGAGACAAACCCTTAACTCCCACAGACTCAATGTCCAGTAGCATAAACCTGTTATTCAGAAATGCAAGTGTAGATGCCAACACATTCAGCCAAAGGAGCTGAGAGTGATCACTTTAGAGGCACCAGGGTGGGGAGATATTTGGCACTTGTTTTTTAATTTTTTTTTTTTTTTTGAGTGAGAGAGAACATTCCTATCCACTGGTTCATTCCTCAAAATGGTCACAGTGGGGCCGGCGCCGCGGCTCACTAAGCTAATCCTCCGCCTAGCGGCGCCGGCACACCGGGTTCTAGTCCTGGTCGGGGCACCGGATTCTGTCCCGGTTGCCCCTCTTCCAGGCCAGCTCTCTGCTGTGGCCAGGGAGTGCAGTGGAGGATGGCCCAGGTGCTTGGGCCCTGCACCCCATGGGAGACCAGGAGAAGCACCTGGATCCTGGCTCCTGCCATCGGATCAGCGCGGTGCACTGGTCGCAGCACGCCGGCCACGGCTGCCATTGGAGGGTGAACCAATGGCAAAGGAAGACCTTTCTCTCTGTCTCTCTCTCTCTCTCTCTCTCTCTCACTGTCCACTCTGCCTGTCAAAAAGAAAGAAAGAAAGAAAGAAAGAAAGAAAGAAAGAAAGAAAGAAAGAAAGAAAGAAAAAAATGTTCACAATGGCCAGGGCTGGGCAGGATGGAAACCAGGAACCAGAATGTCGATCCAGGTCTCCCATGCGGGTGACAGGGACTCAGCCTCCTGGGCATCACTGCTGCCTCCCAGGGTCTGCACTAGCCGAAAGCTAGAGTCAGGACGGGAGCTGAGTAGCAAACCCAGCAACTCTGATATGGGCCACGCAGGCATGAACACATCCTAACCTGCATTTTAACCACTCGGCTAAATGCCTGTCCCGGCACTTGTTTGTTTTTTTAAAAGATTCATTTATTTGAGAGGAGCAAAGAGTGAGAGTGAGAGTGAGAGTGAGAGTGAGAGTGAGAGTGAGATTGAGAGTGAGAGAGATAGGGAGAGGGAGAGGGAGAGGGAGAGAGATGGGGAGAGGGAGAGGGAAGGGGGAGAGAGAGAGAGAGAGTTCTTCCATCTGCTGGTTCATACCCCAAAATGGCCTCAACAGCCAGGACCGGGCCAGGCTGAAGCCAGGAGCCCAGAACTCCATCCAGGTTTCTATGTGGGTGGCAGGAACATAAGTGCTTGAGTCTGCTGCCTCCCACGGGCGAAAGCAGGGAACTGACTGGGAAGTGGAGGAGTCAGAATTCAAACCAGTGCTCCCATATGGGGTTCAGGCATCCCAAGTAGCAGCTTAACCCACTGTGCCACAATGCCAGTTCCTGGCATTTGCTTTTCTAATCAATATTTATATAAATCTAAACTAATAATGTAGTCAACTTTCTATCTATAATATGAATGATATATTTATATAATTAAAACTAATAAGAGGTCGGCGCTGTGGTGTAGCAGGCATCCCATATGGGCACTGGTTCAAGGCGCGGCTGCTCCACTTCCCATCCAGCTCTCTGCTGTGGCCTGGGAAAGCAGTAGAAGATGGCCCAAGTCCTTGGGCCCCTGCACCCACGTGGGAGACCCGGAAGAATCTCCTGGCTCCTGGCTTCAGATCAGCTCAGATCCTGCTGTTGTGACCATTTGGGGAGTGAACCAGGGGATAGAAGACTTCTTCTTTCTGCCCTTGCCTTTCAAATAAATGAATATATCTTTTTTAAAAAAAATAATAATACTAAATTCATGGTAACGTGCAAAACATGGACAAGTGCATTTTGACAGGAATCCACACTGAGTTTGTTGTGCTAACTGGAGGGCTCTCTTCCTCCTTGGGGAAAGTGATAGGTGACGAGGCGCCTGTGGGGTTCCCCACTCTCAGAACCAGGTCCTCTTCCCCTGAACCCCTGCCCTGACGCGGCACTCACCGGGCTGTTGTGGCCGTCACTCACGGAGATGGTGATGCTAAACTGGTACAGTGTCTGTGAGGGCAGAGAGAAAGGGCCTGGGGTGAGCCCCTCCTGGGGGACCCTCCTCTGGGTGCCCCACCCATGCTGTGCCTCTTACCTCAAAGTCCAGAGGGCTGGCCAGCTTCACCTCTCCAGTGGTTGACATCACAGTGAAGAAGTAGGCATAGGAGCCGCTGATCCCATAAGTCAGAGGGTCCTGGTCATCGTCCTTTGCTATCAACCAGAAGGCTTCAGCACCTGAGACAGGGAGTGCCCGGGGTCCATGAGACAGGGTGTTGCCGGGATCCAAGGCCACCTCTTTAGCACGGTCTGGATGGGGCCTGGTTCCTTGGCACCCAGGCACCACCGGAAACCTGGGGCCTCCCCAGTCCCAGGGCTCCAGCCCCTGTGGTCACTGACTTTGCGGGTCACTCTTACTCAGAGGCTTTTTGATTATAGCATCCTGATTTATTTGGAGAAATGATCCCAAACTGCCAGGGACACGGTGAGGGGTGGCTGTGATCCACCTTCCCCCACCCCCAACCCCTGGCCAAGCCCAAGGCTCTGCCCTGCCTGGATTCAGAACACTGGGCTTGGTTGAGAGAGGACTAAACCTGGCTGGAGTTCATGAGTTCTGGTGCACCTGCCAGGGGCTGCTAAGACTCTCGGAGGTGCCTGGGCCTGGCCTTCTTTCACCATTCCTTTCACCTCAAGAGCTCGTCTGGAACCTTCCAGAAGAAGGCTCCTTTCTGCTCCAATTGGCCAAAGCAGCACCTCCTGCTGGTCTCCCCAGCCTGAGGCTTTCACTGAGTCCTGGGCAAAGCAGGGGCCATGAGATTCTGGGAGAGGGGCGCTTGCCAACCCAAGGTCATCAGCTCTCCAGTCCAAAAAAGAACTTTCCACAGATTCTTCAAACCCACCCCAGATCACCCCCTCGGCCCCTGCTGGGTCACCTCCAATGCCCAAAACTCCCTCTGCCAGTCAGCACCCCCTTTACTCCCCAGCACCCCATCTCAGTCTTCCCAAACTGGGTGTCCTTCAAATTCCTCCCATGACTCCTAGGGCTGCACCTGTTGGCACAGGAAGCGCAGAGCCCAGAACTCGGGATCCTTTCAGGGACCATGGGAATATTCAGTGTCTTCTAAATCAGAAAGAACACGATGACTCCTAATCCAGCCTGCATCAGATGTTTGCCTTGAGGCCGAGACAGACACAAAATAGAATGAGGGGTCGGCACTATGGCACAGTGGGTTAAAGCTCCAACCTGCAGTTCTGGCATCCCATATAGGTGCCGGTTCAAGTCTCAGCTGCTCCACTTCCAATCCAGCTCTCTGCTGTGGCCTGGGAAAGCAGTGGAGGATGGCCCGAGTCCTTGGGCCCCTGCACCCACTTGGGAGACCAGGAAGAAGCTCCAGGCTCCTGGTTTCGGATCGACCCAGCTCTAACCATTGCAGTCATTTGGGGAGTGAACCATCGGATGGAAGACTCTCTCTCTCTCTCTCTCTCTCTCTCTCTCTCTCTCTCTCTCTCTGGCTCTACCTTTCTGTAATTCTGTCTTTTAAATAAATTAATTAAAAAAATAGAATGAGTTGGCAGTTTTCTGAGGAAGGGACCTGAGGAAGTAAAAGCTTCCAGGACAGCCACAAGCAGCTTCAGCCCAACCCAGCCTGAGGGGCTCGCGGCCCAAGCATGCCCCCCACTGCCAGTGACGGCCCTCAGGGTCGGGCTTGGCCGTTTGTCCTAGACTCTGCCCCACCAGGCCTGACCCAGAAGGTGTGGTCTCAACCCCTCCCCACCTCGCCCCCTTGGCTGGGGAGGCCCACAGGGCCAGCCTCCTGCTAAGAAGCCATCATGACTATATCACGCGAGATACCCTGTCCATTCAATGGCTGCTTTGGGGAGGGTCATTCTCTGATGGGTGACTATCTCTGGCTTAGAAAGGTTAAAACGCAAAGAGAAAGAGCCGTTACACCTGAGGAAACCTGGGAGCAAGCAGGTGTGCACAGTCTTATCTGTGTGCCCTGCCTTTCCACCATGGTCACCTTCACCCATGGTTAGAAAATATTTGGAAAAAAGTTTGCATTTCCACTAAACATATACAGACTTTCTTCTTGCCTGATTCTGCAAGCAACATGGTAGAAAAGTATGAACAAGAACAGCATTGGGGGCCAGCGATGTGGCGTAGCAGGGAAAGCCACCACCTGCAGTGCCAGCATCCCATATGGACACTGGTTTGAGTCCTGGCTGCTCCATTTCTTATCCAGCTCCCTGCTGTGGCCTAGGAAAGCGGTAGAAGATGGCCCAACTCCTTGGGCCCCTGCACCGCATGGGAGACCCAGAAGAAGCTCCTGGCTCCTGGCAGCTCTGGCCGTTGTGGCCATTTGGGGAGTGAACCAGTAGATGGAAGACCTCTCTCTCTGTAACTCTGCCTTTCAAATAAATAAATAAATTTTAAAAATCCAGCATTTACATTGGACTGGGTATCATAAGCCATCTAGAGACGATTCCAGGTACACAGGAGTGGTGTGTAGGCTCTGTGCACATTTTACATGGAAGACGTGAGCGTCTGAGAGGCTTGATATCCGCGGGGGATCCTGGAATCAATCTGAGGATGACACTGTTTGTCTGTGGCCTAGAAATTGATCTAGAAAGAAATATTTTTAAAAATCCTCCTGAAAAAATTTACATGTAACAAATGATCAATAAGAGCTACAAAAATAGGGGCTGGTGTTGTGGCAAAGTGGGTTAAACAGCTGTCTGCACTGCCGGCATCCCACATCTGAGTGCTGGTTTGAGTCCCGGCTGCTCCACTACCAATCCAGCTCCCTGCTAATGTGCCTGGGAAAGCAGTGGAAGATGTCCCAAGTGCTTGGGTCCCTGCACCCACGTGGGAGACCTGGAAGAAGCTCCAGGCTCCCGGCTTTGGTCTGGCTTAGTCCCAGCCACTGCAGTCAATTTGGGGAGTAAGCCAGCCGATGGAAGACCCTCCCCCTGCCTTGCTCCCTCTCTCTCTTTGTAACTCTGACTTTCAAATAAATAAATAAATCTTAAAAAGAGAAGCAGAACTACAAAAGTAAGAGACTTGGGGGCCGGCATTGTAGTGCAGCAGGTTAGGTGTACCCCATATTGAAGTGTCTATTGCTGGCATTTGGAGAGTGGACCAGCTGATGAAGACCTTTCTCTGTCTCTCCTCCTCTCTGTGTCACTCTGCCATAAATAAATAAATAAATTTTAAAAGAATAAATAAAAGACAGATCAGGCCCCTCCGTATTATGTGTTTGTCACAGTTAGGGCTGACTGTGTACCTGCAAGTTCACATACTGCACCCTGTTATTACTCCAACGTAATGGTGTTAGAAGGTGGAGCCTTTGGGGGTGATTAGGTCATGGGGTGGAGGCCTCCTGGCCACTCGAGGAGAGGTCAGGGACCCTGAGGGCACCGTGAGAAATCTGAAGAGGGTCCTCACCAGAACCGAGTGGAGCAGGTGCTGGGGGACAGGGACAAGCCCAGGCAGGAGCCCCTGGGACTGCCTCATGGGTAAAAGCTGGGCACCATCCAGCACAGGGAGCCTTACTCACCCACTGACAGGTCCTCAGGCAAGAACACGGATGACATGTTGGACTCGAATTTCGGAGCCACGTTGGCTGCCACTGTAAGGGCACAGAAAACTGGAACATCTGGACGGCCTGACCCCTCCTGCTCCCCCAGGGGCCCACACCGCCCTGTGGCCAACATCAGCCCAGCTCACTGGGTGGACTCCTCTCCAGGGCAACCGAGGTCAGGGCCGGCCGCAGGAGCTGGGTGTTTGCTGATGAGGGCTCACCCCGTCCCCTCCAGAGGGTCCTGCTGAGGGTCTCCAGGTAGGAGAGGGGAAGCACCTACCAGATACCATGAGGGCAGGAAGCAGGACAAAGGGCAGCCACAGCCAGGCCATCACGTCTGGAGCGACCTGGGAGAAGAGGTATCAGGGAGTGGCACCTGTACCCACACCTCCCTCACCCAAGAGCTTCACTCCTGCCTGGTGCTGGCCCCAAGCCCACTCACCAGGCCCCATCACCCTCTGCCCATTTTCCGGATGGAAACTACTATACCACCCTGCCTGTCTGAAGTAGCCAAGCATTCTTCAAAGTCAGGGACCCAGAGAAGGACTGTGACTCCTCCAGGAGTTCTGTGCCGCTCACTGATACAGGCGAGAGATGCCTTTGCCATCTTTCCCAAAGAGTCTTCCACGGAACCCTGGTCCTCATAGCAGAAGGGTTCCCTGGATAGGTGAGTTTGCAAAGGGCTCCTCTGTTGATTGATTGGGAAGCATTTGCATCCCTTAGGAAAAGCCTGCCTGGGCCCCCCTTCTTGGTCCTCTCAATATCATCAGCTGTTGTTCTTCTGCCAAAAGGAGGAGAGGGGGCCTCTGCAGTCCCTGAGAAACTTGGACCCCACACTCTTTCGCCCCAGGAGACAGGTGGCATTACGCCAAGAGAGGGGAGAGGCTGCGCTCCCCGGGTGAATCGTTTCTTGCTCCCTGTCCTGAAAGTGCTGCCAGTGCTCACTGCTTCGTAATCACTCCCTCAGACTGCACTACCTGCTGACTCCTACATACACTGCGCTAAGTGAGCACAACGCCTGCCCCCAAAATAAGTTACAGAACGGCTCTAAGGCACACAAGGGGATGCTGCTCCATGCCAACCACCTTCACCCGCCCTGGCCCCTGCCCTTCCTGGTCCCTCTCCCTCCTGCCCCCTCGAGGCTGCAGCAGGTGGCCCAGCCCTCAAGCAGGAAGCAGAAAGAGAATGACTTCCAAGGCTGGACCTTGACCAAACCTTGACCATGAAACAGCACCAGAGCAGTGCAATCCTGCTTGTCCTACAGCTGCCTTCCCATGAAAACACAAACCAAGGCTTTCCCCTGTGCCTTCTGCCTCCTGCCCTTCTGCCTCTGTGCTCCTCTAGCTGGCCCTGCCCGGTATGCTGCACCCCATCCTCTCAGGAATTGCAATCAAAATTTTCTTTCAATGGCATTGACCTTTCTGTGTCATCATTCATAGACATGTATGTTTATTTCTTCTTAAAACATTATGTATCTGTTTTCATTTTATTTGAAAGGCAGAGTGAGCGAGAGATCTTTCATCCACTGGTTCACTCACTGAATGCCCACAACAGCTAGGGCTGCACCAGGTCAAAGCCGGGAGCCTGGAACACCACCATCCAGGTCTCCCATGTGCATAGCAGGGACCAAGCACCTGAGCCATCATCTCCTGCTGCTCAGGATACTTCCTGGATTGGAAATATGAAGCCAGGACTTGATTCAGGAGCTCCAATATGGGATGCAGGCATCTAAAGTGATGTCTTTGTTTATTGTTGTTTTTGTTTGTTTTTAAAAGATTATTTATTTGAAAGTCAGAGTTACACAGAGAGAGAAGGAGAGGCACACAGAGAAAGAGAGAGAAAGAGAGAGAAAGAGAGAGAGAGAGAGAATCTTCTATCTGCTTGTTCACTCCCCAATTGGCCACAATGGCCGGAGCTGCACTGATCTGAAGCCAGGAGCCAGGAGCTTCTCTCAGGTTACCCACGAGAGTGCAGGGCCCAAGGACCTGGGCCATCTTCCACTGCTTTCCCAGGCCATAGCAGAGAGCTGGATGGGAAGTGGGGCAGCCGGAACTTGAACTGGCACCCATTTGGGATGCTGGCACTGCAGGCAGCAGCTTAACCCACTACACCACAGCACCAGCCCCGAAAGTAATGTCTTAAAGCTACTGCACCAAATGCCCACCCCATGCCTCTATAAGTTTTAAATTTTGCAGGTGCAATAAAGACAGCTGACAAGACTCTGTGAGTAACCAGGAGACTATAGAATCAGAGATGCTTTCCAAGCCTAGCTTCAAGATCCTGGCAGCTTCCCCTCCTATCTCTCAGAAACCCATTCTTGGATCTCAGACACTATGATGCCAGGAAGTCCAAGGAGCACCTTGAAGTGGTTCCTGTGCCCAGGAGCCCAGTCTCCTGCCAACAGCCCAGCAGAGCTCCCAGCCCACAGCCAATCCCTCTTGCCAGTCCTTTGAGCCAACCATCCTGACACCAATATCTGCCTCCAGATGAGCCATCCCAGCTGAGCCCTGACTTAAATGATGGCTGCTATTGCTTGCCAGTAAGTTTTAGGCTGGTTTGTTCCACAGCAGTAGATAATGGGAACAGGCAAGAGGTGAGTTTCCCCCAGAGATCTGAAGAATAAAAAAAGAGGTTTATGCAAGGGGTGAAGGAGCATCCCATTAAACACAGAGGACTCACAACTCCAATTCCTTCCTCTGGAAACCCCATTAAAATGACAGCGAAGGGGCTGGTGCTGTGGCATAGCAGGTAAAGCTGCTGCCTGCAGTGCCGGCATCCCATATGGGTGCCAGTTCAAGTCCCAGCTGCTCCACTTCTGATCCAGCTCTTTGCTATGGCCTGGGAAAGCAGTGGAAGATAGTCCAAGTCCTTGGGCCCCTACCTGCATGGGAGCCCGGAAGAAGCTCTTGGCTCCTGGCTTTGGATAGGCCCAACTCCAGCCGTGTGGCCATTTGGGGAGTGAACCAGCAGATGGAAGATTTTATCTGTCTTTCTCTGTCTCTGTCTCTCTTTCTCTCTCTCTGTAACTCTACCTCTCAAATAAGTAAGAATCTTAAAAGAGAGAGAGAGAAGGTGATGAGAAACTTGGAAAGAGCAGTCAGTGGCCTGCTAAAATGTCCATAAAGCTAGGAACCAGGGAACCAGGGATTCCATCTGGATCTCCCACATTCATCTTCATCTTCTCTCTCTCTCTCTCTCTCTCTCTCTCTCTCTCTCTCTCTCTCTCTCCCTGTCATTCTGCCTTTCAAATAAATAAATGAGTGAGTAAATCTTAAAGAATAATAGGAGAGGGGCCGGCACTGTGGTGCAGTGGGTTAACGCCCTGGCCTGAAGAGTCGGCATCCCATATGGGCACTGGTTCGAGTCCTGGCTGCTCCACTTCCTATCCAGCTCTCTGCTATGGCCTGGGATAGAAGTAGAAGATGGCCCAAGTGCTTGGGCCCCTGCACCCACATAGGAGACCCAGAAGAAGCTCCTGGCTCCTGGCTTCAGATTGGCACAGCTCCTACCGTTGCAGCCAATTGGGGAGTGAACCATCGGATGGAAGACCTCTCTCTCTCTCTCTCTCTCTCTCTCTCTCTGCCTCTCCTCTCTCAGTGTAACTCTGACTTTCAAGTAAATAAAAATAAACCTTAAAAAAAAGAATGATAGAAGTTACTGGAACATGAATAGGATAATGATACAAACACCCACAGAACAATGAGGATTTGTATAAATTGAAATTCCTCAAACTCAGCACACTTGACATTTTGGGCTGGGTAATTCTTTGTGGTGGGGGCCTGTCCCATGCATTGCAGATAGTTGGGCAGCATCTCTGGCCTCTACCCACTAGATGCCAGTTGTAGCCCCCAGGTTGTGGCAGGCAAGAAAGTCTACAAGTGTTCCCTGGGGTATAAATCACCATGGTAGAGAAACACCAATGTAGAATTAAAAAGTACAACAGCAGAAATGAAAAACACAACGAAGGGAGGAGAATAGAAGGCTATGGGATAGAAACTGGGAGAGAAAACATAAGAAATAGAGGATTGATTCATCCAGAAGGCTCTATGAGAGAAAACAAAGGAAAAGAGAAAAGGAACTATCAGGTAAGTATAGCAAAACATTCCTCATAAACAAAGAACACAGATTTCGAGGTTGAGTTCCCAGAAATGATGGGAATGTACTAAGCAGTTTTCAGACTACCAGGGATGAGAAGACCCTGAAAAGTCGAGAGAAAAGAAGGATTCAGAATCAGAAGGCTGTGGGACAGCAATCCTGGGAGTGCTGTGTGGCAGATCTGTGGTGGCCGAAAGTTCTTTAACATTGCCCCTTCAGAGGTGAAGCTCGATCCTCTCCTTCTGAACCTGAGCCAGCCCTAGCGATTTGTTTGCCTGACGGAATGCCTAGGACTTCAGAGGAAGCTTCACAGTTTACACCTGGGCCTCTTGGGACCCGTGCCGATCCGAAGGCAGGAACCAGGTGCTTCTCCTGGTCTCCCATGGGGTGCAGGGCCCAAGCACTTGGGCCATCCTCCACTGCACTCCCAGGCTACAGCAGAGAGCTGGCCTGGAAGAGGGGCAACCAGGACAGAATCCGGCGCCCCGACCGGGACTAGAACCTGGTGTGTCAGCACTGCAAGGCAGAGGATTAGCCTATGGAGCCACGGCGCCGGCTGGAACCCTTGCTTTTGGAACCCAGAGATGCCTTGTAAAAAGTCTAAATGGGGCCAGCATTGTGGCATAGTGGGTAAAGCCATCGCCAGCAGCACCAGCATCCCACAGGGATGCTGGTTCAAGTCCTGGCTGCTCCACTTCCCATCCAGCTCCCTGCTAATGTTCCTGGGAAAACAGTAAAAGATGGTCCAAGTGCTTGGGCCCTGCACTCATGTGGGAGACCCAGAAGAAGCTCTTGGCTCCTGGATTTGGCCTGGCCCAGCCCTGGTTGTTGTGGCCATCTGGGAATTGAACCAGCAGATGGAAGATCTCTCTGTATCTCTTCCACTGTCTGTCTCTTTCTGTAACTCTACATTGCAAATAAATAAAATAAATCTCAGAGAGGAAAGAGAGAGAGAGAGAGAGAGAGAGAGAGAGAGAGAGAAAGTAAGTCTATGTACCCTGAGCCCACCACGCTACAAGGAAACCCAAGCTAAGCACGTTATGTGTCCTGTGTGGTGAGAGAGAGCAAGCTGACAAGGCAGCCCCCACTCTTCAGACCCCAGCCTTTCACAAAGCCCAGGTGAGGCTCAAGACACCATGAGAGGGGCTGGTGTTTTGGCACAGTGGGTTAATCTACCACCAGCAATGCCGGCATGCCATACGGACACCAGTTCAAGTCCCAGCTGCTCCACTTCTGTTCCAGCTCCCTGCTA